GCCAGATCCAGAGAGAAGCCAGAGACCAGACAGCGACTGGGTCATAGAAAGAGGGTGATGTTGCAGGGCAGAGCAGGTAGAAGGGGACAGAGTCATTCCTGAGGGGAGAACTTAAGATGTGCAGCCACGTGTCTTCATCTAAGCTAGAGAAGGTCAAAAACACAGGCCTTAAGTTCAGGTATTCGCCTCACTCTGAACTCATTACCACTACTGTCTGCCAGACCACTATGACAATTTCAGGCATAAGGATATCAGGGGAAACAAAATATTTTGCTGAGACAAGATGTATGTCCGAGGGTTTTTCTGACCATGTAAGCCTATCTAAACTTGAAATGATTTCAGGAAAGGGCTATGTGTTTTGTATCCATCTTTTGGCTCCCATTACCACTAAATGTAATTTCTAAAGGAAATTAAGGTCTAATAAACTCTAGTCTTTTTTATTTGTCTTTTATGTTATTCTTCCAAATAGATACATTGTTTTAAAAAGCTGATGATTCAAGGAGGGTTCCTGATAGCCTTTGGATTCCCTGGTATATGTTTCACAACTGATCTAATTCATAGGAGGAAAACATTTCTTAGGGGGTAGAGAAACACAAGAATCCATATGCATTCTTGAACTCTCTCATCCTTTTTATGGGAGCTATTAATCTCCCCAACTAAATTATGTGTGGGGGCAGCGAGATATATCATCCTCTTTAGCAACCACAAGTGGTTGATGATATGGACATTAACATTTCACCATAGTCTCGGGGTCCTATGCTGCCCACCAACTGCTGGGTGCCAGGCATCATGTTACTATGGTATATGTGCAAGTGGTTTAGGACAGGCTGCAGTCCAAGAAATGAGACTGTACGTCCTACCCTAGTAGGGAAAAGTAGGAAACACTCGTTAAATCCATCAGAAGTGAATTTAAGTACACTGTCTCCCAAGGATTATTGAGAAGAACGAGGATCCATCCCCTGTACCTGGCAGGTGCTAGAAGGGAGGTCCAGTTCCAAGTGCATAAAGCGTAGTCCAGCAGGGATCTACCACGATTGAAGGATATAGCACAAATATAAAAACTTAAATACACACAAATAGAAAAGCTTTTATGTGAATGGAACAACATTATTTGTTACTCTAGTTTTTAAAGGGAAAGTATGGAAGCTAGTAGATCTTTTTTTCTTCACTTCCCACTTCTCCTCCCCCTCCACTTTTATGTGCTTTCCCTATACCTGCCTGCATTACTGACATCCAACCCTGAAAAGACACATACACACACACACGCACACACACAGTATCCTCTGTATTAGCAACCCAGTGTGATTCTTTTTGTTCCTTTTTACATTCTACCTTGTCTTCAATCAGACCTTTCTGAATGTGTTAAAAGGGACAGTCTATTTGAAATTCTGGTCAACAACTAAAGGAAAGATCAAGGAAAGTAATTTACAGCCTCCCATTCTATCAATCTCAAATCAAGATGAGCTTCAGCTAACATCATGAGGCACATGGATTTGACTGCTGAATCCTGAAATGCTGTGTTCTAAATGGTACACTGCAGTGGATTTCCCTCTATTTGTTCACCTTCTCCAGCCAGGCCCTGGAATATTTCAGAACTAGGAGCCAGAGAGCCACCTGTGCTTCCCCACTGGCAGCCTGAAGGCCCTCACCTCCTGCAGCACCCCTTTGTGCTGTGTAGGTGCCCTGTGAAGGGGACATGCCTGGCTGTGTCTTCCAGGACACCTCACCTTTATGTAGAGGGAAAAGATGTTCTTCATGCAGCTGCTCCTCTGCCTGTGCTCCCACCTCCAGGGGCAGTTGTGCCATCATCATCACTACACTCCTAGGCCTCAGTTCCCAAGAGGTGGATGAGCTCATGGAATCCAGAGCCCATAAGAACAACAGCACTAAATTTGATTCACAAGGTGATGCAGCTGTCAGATTGTTGTAACTCTAGGCTCCCTTTGTATCTTGAACCCATTTCTATTTTGCATTTATCATCAAGTATTATAATGATTAAAACTGTCTTCCTTAGAAAGCTGAGACCGTGGCTTAAAAACTTTTGAGCGTCTTTTTCCTTGTACAGCACTGGGAATATGTTCAATAAAGGCCAACTGGATCAACACACTCAAAGGTAGAAGAGCGTTGAATCACTGGCATTCTTCAGGCCCTTAAATATCAGAAGAAGTTGAAGGAGGTGGATAAATGCGACAAGGATTCAAAATGGAAAGAAGAAATGAGGTCTCCAACAGCCAATCATGCCATTGTCTAGGAGGCCTCAAGCTACTGGGTCAAAGGGGAGGGGATGAAGGTTTTTTTCTTTTAAACACTAAAAATTCATTTACCCTCTGTATTTGCCACTAGATAACTTCATATTTATAAGCATTATTATGCAGAATGGCAAGAGAGATAAATGAGATGCACAAATGATAGGACTTGGGCCTTGTCATTCCCCTGCTGAAACTCCCAGCGGTAGCCACTGCCGGTGAAATGAAACCCACCCCCTGAAGGGTGTTAACTACAGTGTGCTCAACTCCTCAGCCTCTTGCCATCTCTCCATCCTCATCTCCTGCCACACTGTCCCTTACTCCACACCTGCTCATGGACATTATTTTTGTCCTTAAACACATCAAATCCTTTCTAACTTCAGGGCACTTGCCTTCAACTCAAAGGCAGCCTCTTTCTTGATCATTCAGCCCTCAGCTAACTAACTGTTCCTCCTTCTGGCCAGTATCATCCTCACACTCTCTCCTCAGTCACTTTCCATGCCATCGCCAAGGTGGAGTTTCTCCATAAAATATTTCACTGTGAAGTTACCTTGTTTACTTCCTGTGTAATCATTGTCTGTTCCCCTCTGCTTTCCCTGTCCCTTCCCCAATGCGTGGGAGGGGAAGGCTTCCTGAAAGCAGGAAGCTTCATCTGGCTCAACCACCATCAGTCCAAGTGCCCAGGACATGGCCCAGAGTCTGTCACCTATGAGACACTCATCTAGTATGGACTTGCTCTGGGGAAAACAGAAAGATTCGCCAAGAAGCATTATAGGTGAAAAATTTCCTGTGATCAGGGAAAGCAGTTAGGTCTAGCACCAGGACTTTGGACTGTTGGAACAGACTGCGAGATGAGGCATGGAAGTGGGGCTGGAAGAGTAGAATGACCCAAGAGCTTGTTTTATCAGGAATAGGAGTTAAGAGCTACAAACCAGAGCTCAAATGTCAATGCCATTGCTTACCACAAGTGCAAACCAGGCAATGACCTCACCTTCGTGTGCTTTCATTTCCTCATATGCAAAAAGAGCCAAAACTCTCTTCATTAGGTTAGTGTGAGAACTAAGTGAGTTGTTCCATGGCAAATGCCTAGTGGTCCTAGAACACGGCTAAGCATTTGTGCTGTGTCACTGAAGATTTGAGGAGTACGGTGATGGAGTCAGGTTCGTGTTTTAGGAAGATCATCAGGATGGCAGTAGAGAGAAACGGCTGAAGGGCACTGAGAAATCAGTAAAGGAAATAACTGTTTAGGAAAATGGACCCCAGACAAGGAGGGGCCATGAGGATGAGCTGAGAGTTTCTAAAGCGGTGACTCATTCATCAGTTTGGGGAAGGCGGTCAGGAAATGGCTGATGGTGTATTGGCCTTACAGGAGATACAGGAAGAGGCACAGGCTGGAGAACCAGGGTGGGGAGGAAAAACAAGCTGTCTGCTATTATATGTAAGAGTTTATGCCCAGTTCATTTGCCCATTTGTAAGACAGACTCTCCAAAAGAACACAAGAGAAATTCACACATACTGGGGTTTTGTTCTTCCTGTTTGTTCTGTGAGTTCAGGTTGGCCTTGAACTCACTATGTAGCCCAGGCTGGCCTGGAAGTCTCAGAGATCCTCCTGCCACAGCCTCCCAAGCACTGGGATTACAGGCATGTACCACACATATTGTTGAACTCATTCCACGTGTGTCTTAGAATCCTAGGGATCCTGCCTGTTCTTTGTTTATTTTGTCTATTCCCATATGTACTATCCACAGATCATGCAATAAAGCTATTTGGTCAGAAAATTTGATTGAGGTTGGAACCAAATCTCTGTAGCTACAAGTTTCTCTAGACATAGGTAAAGAGACCCACCCACACTTTCTAAAATCAGCCATTTAATCCAGTTCCAGTTATAATGGCAAGCCTTAGAGCCTTAGAACTGTAGATTCAGGACATATGGCTTCCACTATTGGAACCCAGCTAGTATTAGTATTTGTCAGAACTCTGGGCTCTAGAGGACAGTGTCTCAGTCAAACAAGTTAGACAACTTATGTTTTGTATCTTCCTCCCCTTCAGTATTCACAATAAAAAGTCAACTAACTTAGTACTTCCCAAACTTATTTGGCCACATGTCATAGCTATTAACACCCTGCTTTTAGGAAGAGTCCAGTCTCCTCACAAATGTCCAGAAAACTAGGCCATTTGTCAAGAGACAACACAGCCAGGCGTGACAGAACCAGGATGGCCTCCATGAAGGGTTAACAGTGTCCCTCTGAACGGCTGCATCCCTGTATCGACAGCAGTGACCTCAAATGGGTTTTCAAAATTATTTTTTCCTTGGAATTCATTTAACGAACTGCTTCTAAAGTATCTAGGATCCTAGTTTAATTCAGAGAGATTTATCCCTCAGCAGATGGAAAATGTGCCAATTGGCCCGTTCAATTTAGTAGTACTCTTTATTCATGTGCATCAAAAATGGAACCTGAATAGTATGCACGATGGAGGACAACACACCCTGAAGGCTCGCGGTGTGAGGCTTGGGGAAGGGAGGACGCCCATAAGCAATTAAACAAGTAGATTTGTAATTGCAAATTATGATATATGCGCTATGAAGAAAAGTAGCTGTGTACTGTCAGGTTGGGCTCAAATTTGCAATCATTTTTTAATTGACCCAGATTCAGGTGGAATCAATAGCAGCTCTTTTTTATGTTTATTATGGCGCTCCGCTCTTAACTACTGTTTGAAGCACATTAACAACCTCCCCTCTTCCTGTTTTTCCAGCCCAGCGCGGCAAAATGAGAGCCCAGTAAGCCGGCTCCGCCCCTCTCCCAGCCTTCTCCCACGCCCACCATGAACCACTTGGAGGGCTCCGCGGAGGTGGAGGTGCCCGACGAGGCGGCAGACGGGAAGGTGAACGAGTCGGTGGAGGCCGACCTGGAGCACCCCGAGGTGGAGGAGGAGCAGCCGGCCCCTCCGCTGCAGCACTACCCTGGCCGGCACCCGCGCGGGCGCGCCGTCGAGGACCTGCGGGGCGCGCAGCTTGGGCAGGAGGACGAGGAACGCGGAGAGAGCCTGGCACGCTCGGCCAGCACGGAGAGCGGCTTCCACAACCACACCGACACCGCCGAGGGCGACGTGATCGCCGCTGCCCGCGACAGCTACGATGCGGAGCGCGCGCAGGACGCGGAGGACGAGAGCGCGTACGCGGTGCAGTACCGCCCCGAGGCCGAGGAGTACACGGAGCAAGCGGAGGCCGAGCACGCCGAGGCCGCGCACCGCCGCTCGCTGCCCAACCACCTGCACTTCCACTCGCTGGAGCACGAGGAGGCCATGAACGCGGCCTACTCGGGCTACGTCTACACGCACCGGCTCTTCCACCGCGGCGAGGACGAGCCCTATGCCGAGCCCTACGCCGACTACGGCGGGCTACAGGAGCACGTGTACGAGGAGATCGGGGACGCGCCCGAGCTGGACGCGCGCGACGGCCTGCGGCTCTACGAGCAGGAGCGGGACGAGGCGGCAGCTTACCGCCAGGAGGCCCTGGGTGCGCGGCTGCACCACTATGACGAGCGCTCCGACGGCGAGTCCGACAGCCCCGAGAAGGAGGCCGAGTTTGCGCCCTACCCGCGTATGGACAGCTACGAGCAGGAGGAGGACATCGACCAGATCGTGGCCGAGGTGAAGCAGAGCATGAGCTCGCAGAGCCTGGACAAGGCGGCTGAGGACATGCCTGAGGCCGAGCAGGACCTGGAGCGTGCCCCCACCCCTGGCGAGGGCCGCCCGGACAGCCCGGGGCTGCAGACACCGGTGGGGCAGCCTCGAGCAGCTGGTTCCGCGGGCGGCGGCGAAGGAGGACAGCGGTACAGCAAGGAGAAGAGGGACGCCATCTCGCTGGCCATCAAGGACATCAAGGAGGCCATTGAAGAGGTGAAAACCAGGACCATCCGTTCGCCTTACACTCCCGACGAGCCCAAAGAGCCCATCTGGGTGATGCGCCAAGACATTAGCCCCACCAGGGACTGTGATGACCAGAGGCCAGTGGATGGAGATGTAAGTCTGGGCGCGTCTAGGCTGGTGCAGGGCCACGCATGGCCTCCGAAGGGAGGGGAGGGAGACCAGAGTTCGTGGCCCTGTGGAGCGCTGAGAACCTTTCCACCCTAAGTCTCAGAAACTTCATACAAGCTTGTTAGGCCCGTAGAGGGATCACTTTAAATCAATGATTCCCACATTGTATCTGGAGAGCTCGTTGAGAATCAGTTTTCGAGGCACAAGGCCTCCCACCAACTAGTTGCTAATTCAGAAGGTCTGGTGTGAGGCCTGAGAATTTGTATTTGTTTTTAATTGTATTAACACATGTTTGCAGTACATGATGATTACATTCATTGTCGTGGGAGAGGGTATACATAGCACATCTTAATAATTTTTACTTTAAAATGGCAAAAATATCAAGTCAGGATTGAGTAAGAAGAGACTTAATTGGAAAGGATTATGGCTTTGGGGAGAAAGGTACTATTTTACTAGGGAGAGGGCAGTGTTGTCAAAGAGAATCTCTAGCCTAACATCTGAAAGGCTTCCCATGATAAGAAGGGTGTTCTTTTGCAGGGAGGAGTGACCGAGGTCATAGAGAACAAGGTCTGAGGAAGTAGGTCGGAAGAGTGGCTTAATGGAATGAGATCAGAAAATAAAGTTTTAACCAGAGACCAACCTGTCTTGAGGAAGGGCTGTATCAGTGGTGGCGAACCTATGGCACATGTGTTATTTGTTTTTAAGACAAGAAATGTTAATGTATGAGTTCCTTTTTTTCTAAACTAAACTTCAATATTCAAGTTTAATTGCAGTGTTAGCACTTTATAATAAATAGGTGGGTTTGGGGTTGCATTTTGGGCACTCAGTCTCTGAAAGGTTTGCCATCCCTGGGCTATATGTTGGCCAAAGGTTAGACACCTTGGGGAAAGGGAGAAGCTGAACCAAGTTAAGTTAACAAGCATTTTGTTCTGGCTAACCAGCAGGTCGGCTAATGATTTATGAGGTGAAGAATGGGAATTTGGAAGGTCTTGTTGTAAGTAAAGAAGGCACCTGAGTGTCTTATGGTTGTCTGTTAGGGAAGAGGGTCTCTCTGCAGTCAGCCACTTCCCAGAAAGCATAAGGGTGGAGGATTTCTTAACCTTCCCTATTTCTAGAATGGCCTGGATGGAGATCAGTGTGCTCACTATCAAGTTCCCAGGGGATGCTGCTGGTCCGAGGACCACAGCTGGAGAACCACTGCCTGCCTTAAAGCTATCCCTTAAAGATTTGGGACAGGTGTTGTGGTTTCTTTGGAGAAACTGATGGAAATCCTTCCGAGCACTGTCCTGCCAGGGATTCTGTAGGTTTTGGGGTTTTTTTTTTCCACTCACCTTATTGTTTATTATGGATTTCAGTAAGTGCTTAATTTTCACTTCTCTTGATATCAGGGTAGATTGTGCATCGCTGTGAAGAGCTACACAAAGCTATTGCTGCCTTTGGTGACATTTTATTTTTCCTTTTTTGTGGTACGGAGGGTTGAATCCCAGTCGTTCACACTGAGCTGCATTTATTTTCCATGTTTGAAATACCTACACAGTCTGATAACTTGGCAGGCGTGGGGGGAAGTCACAGTCTGTTCAGAATAAATCAAGAAGACTAACCTTTGGCCCCTACCTTGCTATAAAGATTCTTTCTGCTGCAGTTCTCACTTTTCCATTCTCTTGAGTAATTTTTAAACAATTTCATTTAAAATTGGAGCTTGGTGTCAGAGAAGGGTCAAGGTTAAATTGCATTTAACTCTGTATTTTATAATTGTACCAGACTGCTTCTCGGTGTATCTTTTGGAGGGAGAAGCCATTATTGGAAGCTGCTTGTGCATTTTACTAATATGTAAAGGGTTGTATTGGCCAAAGCAGTATAGTTCACCTCCTGTTTAGTAACAGTCAGCATTGGCTGTTGGCTGATTAAATTGGTAACACCTTTTCAAAAATTGGACACTGGTCCGGAAGGCAAGTGCATCCTCCCCAGCAAGGGGGCAGCATTGGGTCAGTTAGTCCAGGTGCTCCCTTGCATCTGTTTTCTAGGCTCCTGAGTTAGAAACAGGTGCACTCACATGGAGTGTTCCCCTTGATCTCCAGCAATCTAAGCTTCTCGTAGCTAGGAGGGATTGCAGCAAGCATTTTGCAAATGAGGTGGAAATGAAGCAAATTTTTCAAAAGTAAGGAGCTGGCAAGCAGCAGGGTGGCATGTCCTTTTAGAAACTTGGAAAGCCATCAGAGAAGTTGCAGAAGCATTCGATCAGGTGCTGGCCTATCCTGGTAGCCTCCTCGTTTAAGGTCAGCTCTGTGAAATGACCTGCTTACCCATCTGACCCTTCCACCTTCACTCCGGGCCACCAGCACAGCCAATGGTTGGGCCCAGGGTGGCTTTTATTCATTTGAACTTGGACAACCTCCTGCATGATATTTCATTCCAAACGTAGAAAGAATGATAGCTGCTTTGAGAACCTATACCATCAGAAATTCAGCTCGATGCTAAGAAATTGGTCAGTAGGGCTTACTGGGTGATGAATAGTTCATACAAAGCAAAACCCAAAAACCTGTACTTTAAAATATCCCCCAGTCACTTTTAAGCCACTGGAATCTGTGTAGTATATTTCATCTGCTATGCCATATTTATAAGACAGACCTTCATTTGGTACCACTTTGATGGTGTAATTCCATGTTAGCATCAAAAACTCATTCCATGCAAGGTATTGTAGAAAACAAAGTCACCGTAAAAAGCAGTGTAATGGGAAGATGCGGGCTTGTTAAAAATGCATTACTGTCCTTCTTTCCCAAACCTAAGTGCCTGAGATGGAGCCCCGTGATCTGGTGTTTTGTTTTGTGTTGTTTGCCTTATAAATGCTCCCTGAAATTCTTTTTTATTTTTTTTGTCTAGTACTAGGGATCAAACTCAGGACCTTGTGCTTGCCAGGCAGGCACAGTGTCACTGAGCTACATCCCTAGCCCTCCCTGAAATTCTTAACCACATGAAATTCTTAACATTCTTAAGCATGTTAACAACCACTGATTTGGTGATGGGGAGGGGATTATCTAGCCAGCTTTCTCAAATAAGATATGTGGACTTCAAAAATCCTTACTAGCAACAATACGGTACTAACAAAAGGGGCTGTCTCGTGATTACAGTCAACAGACCTGGAGAAGTGGTTTAAGGAAGTGTGTTCTCAAAATGTCAATATGAGAAACTACAATGGAGCAATAGAAGGAAATTAAGAACACTGCATTACCACTCACCAGAGATAATTGCTAAGGGTTAAGTCTACTTTTAACTCTCCTAAATGTCACCATTTTGCACGTGGTGGTACAAACTAGTGTTTGCTGATAAGTTGTACAGAATAAGATAGGATTGTTCATCTGCAAGAATTTAATGAACTTAGAGATGCTCAGTGCCGAATGAAAATTGTTTCCTAACAAAATACGTGATTTGCTTCTAGTAAGGAGTTTGTATTCTAGATATATGTTTGATATGTTTGAGCACTCTCTTCCAGCTCCCTTCTTTAAAAATATTGTTAATGAATGGCTTGTTCCGAAAAGTTCCATACCTACTGATGTCTCTGGTGGCGACAGAATCATTCTGAGTAGAGAGCATTCATGGTAGGATAGAGTCAGAGATTGATGGCAGTGAGCATGCTGTGTATGTTGGAGGGTTGGGGCTGCTTTGAGTTGTGTGCTGTGCATCCTGAAATGGTGCATATATCTACTCCCTCCTACAGGTACACCAAGTGATAGATAGTACTAAAAAGCAGAAAGACAGAAAGCACAGATAATAACAAAATGTTTAAAATTTTGGTAATTGGTTATGGTAGACATAGAGCTCCCTTGTGTTATTGATTCTCATCTCCTTTCAAATATAAAAGGGGCTGAACTTCCTCATTCCCTAGAAGTTTCTAGGGAGGCTGGCCAGTGAAGTGTGAGCCTGAAATGTGCTATCTCCATGCAGGAACAGCTCACATCACACTTTCTTTTCTAGTGGCAGTACTCTCGGAAGCCTTGTGCTGGCATGGGGTGTCGCAGTATGACAGCACTTCTGTCAGCACAGCACATGGCCAAAGTGAGCAGACCCAGGCAGGGCTGGGTGTTTTGTTACAGCAGCAGATCCTCGTCAGTCATGACTGATACACCAATGAGGCTTCTATGTTCTTTGTTCTACCAAGAGTTTGTGAAGATTTGTATTATAGACTCTCCAGAAAGTCTCAGGAATGAGACACCAGATACCTCAGGTGGCAGGAGTGTGGATCCATAGCTGGAGAAAAAAAAGGATTGTTTAAAAGGCAGTCACAGCAAATGTGAGCCACCTGAATGTCTTCTCCAGCCCCTGTAGCTAGGTGACTCCTCTTCCCTGCAGTAGATGGGTATGTCTTTGGCAAAAGGATGAAAGAGGGGAACATGACACTGGGGGCACTAGCACAGCTGACAGTGGGTAGAGAGTGCCTCAGGGGAACACAGTGACTGCTTTGCACTGATAATCCCTTAGAATTTTGTCAGGGTGAGAGCCCACCTGCCCAGGGCCTTCAGTTCCCAGCAGATTGGAGTACTGTATTTCTCTCCCAGAAAACAGGAAGATACCTGTAGATACTGATGCTGATGTAGGGGGTTTCCTGGTACAGTTGAGTCCGTATCTTATAACCCCACAGGAGGGCCAGGGATTTAGCTCCATGGTTCTGCTGCCTGCCTCACAAGCGGAAGAATCTGAGTTTGATCCCTGGTACCAAAACAAACAAAAAACCCCAAACAAACCCCACAGGAAAGGTTCCTGCCTCTCGTGAATCCTCCATTAGGCATTTTTTGGGACCCATTCTTGAATATGAACAGACAGCCAAGGATCATCAGACATATGAAGAATCTCTCTAACATGAAAGGCAAAACACGAAAAGAACAAATAGAAAATGGCCCTTGGAGATATAAAGCAGGGCTCAGAGCAAGGGAGGACTCTATACCATTTATAATCAATATGCTCAGAGAGGCAGAAGAAGACAGGGAAGA